TCTCCTCCGCGGGCAAGATAAAAAGGGGGAGGAGGGGAGAGGAGGGGTCGTCTGTTGCCCTGGAGTTTACATTCAGTGTCGTCACCAAAGGTTTGGGAAAGAGCTCACGGAGCATAATTAGCAAAGATTCCACAGCTCCAAATGAAGTTAACTGAACGGCCAGAAAATAATTTTAACGTCATAATTTATTACTTTCTTAAAGCCACTTTGGTAAAGGTAAATATACTTATTGTGTATCCAAGTGTGCGCGTTCAAAGTGAACTTTCACCCCTCTACAAAACCACCTGCATCATTAATCAATACTTATGTAATATTTTTAAACCTCTTAAAACAACACATTTTTCTTTCTTTAAACATGCATACAAACCCTTCCCCACCCCACCCCCCACTTTTGGGCTCTTTAGCGAGCATCCAGCAGCAAAGAGGGAGGGGGCATCACTCGTAGGGGCGAGCACAAGGGACCAGCAGTGGGGGTGCGCGACGAGGAGGGATCAAATGCCAATACACAGCCCAGGTTTTCTGGACTGGGTGAAATCAGGCTGGGGGAGGGGCGGGAGCGGAGGGCAGTTCCTATTTCACTCTGGGCATTTTATGATGGTGGAATTAAATATATGTTAATGGTGGAAACGTCGCTGCTTACCTCTCCACTGGCACCCAGAGAAAGCAGCTGCAAAACTGGGTTTTTAATGTATGTTTTAAGATGTGGTTTCGGAAGGAACCCCCTGGAATCTGAAACAAGTGCAATAACATAGCAGACCTACTTGTAACTAAGTGCTTAATTTCCTATGATTTTTTTAAAAAAGAAAATCAATAAAATGTTGCCAGTTATTTATTGGAAATAACCACAGATAGCGGCCCTGATGGGGTGCCGGTTTTAGAGAGCACACAATTGTGTAATGAATTGTAATTCAGAAGACTGTTAAATGTGAACCACAGAACCTTTCAGAGGTAATAAAGTCATTACTTTTTACACTACAGCCAACCCTGAAAAGCTTTATACACACCATTATATATAAATCATACATATATATTTCCACAACACACATTCGCCCATTTATATACCTTCTCTATATATAGACTTTCATGGATGGATGGATGGATGGATGGATGGATGGGGGAAATATTTAAATGTGAAAACTCGGTTCCGAAAGAATCTGACTCACTATTGTTACCTGATGAGGCTTTTATCTTATTTATTTATTTTTCAAAGACCTCCCAGTTGCACTTTCTTCTTCCCTCTCTTCGCCTTCCCTCCAACCATTCATTTCTACGCACCCCCTGTCTCTTGTAATGACACTCTTTTGGTCGCTCTAAAGCTAGTTTAAAAAGATTAAAAAAAAAAAAAAGACAGTAGTGGGAGATGCCGACCTGCTCTGAAGAACTCATGAAAAAGGGGAAATGGTGTAACGCACACACTACAGAGCTTTACTGCAAGTGAATCTTCCTGCTTCTTAAACAGTATTTGAATGCCTCCCCCCTACCCCTAAGCTGGAGGGGAACAATAACAACAAAACACATTTACGCAAACCCAGTTCAGCACACATCTCTCCTAATGTTGAACATCAAACTCTCCCTTTCTTCCTTAGTGGGGCCCGAAGCTTCGCCGAGCCAGGCAAGCCAGTCATTTTCCAATAGGTTTGAAACTTTACTAAGACAACACAAGAATAAACAGCCGTTTGCCTGCGCGGCAGGGAGGTGGGTGCGCGCTTGCAAGCCGGGGGCTTTAGCTTAAAACAATAAAGCCCCCAGCCGGGTGGGTGAATTTACAGAAACGACGTCCCTTAGACTGAGGAGGGGGAAAGAGAAAACGCGAGGGGTTGTGGAGCCGCTTGGAGGAGAGGGAAGGAAGGCTCTTGCTCTGCAGACACACACTCACACACGTCCACCTGCAGCTCCGAGTCTCGCGGGCCACAGCGACCCGCCTCCACCCTACACCCCCGACGCCTTCCTTGGACTTGAGTCCATTTGCTTCTCCCACCCCCCACCCCCAGCCCCCCCTGCCCTTCCGGATTTGGAATCGCAGCTCTGGCTCCTCGGCGGCGGCGGCGGCGGCGGCGGCTGAGGCTACAGGGTGGCGCAGGCAGGCGGGGAGGCTGGGAGGCGGGAGACGCCGGGGGACTTTGCAGACACGTTTCTGAATAAACTTTCCAATCGCAGGGGGTGCTGTTGCTGTACATTTTACGTAAAACTGAAAGTATCCCACGCCAGAGTGAAGCCCGCTTTTTGACAGCGGCGGCACGCGCGCGCGCGCTCGCGCGCGCGCGTGTGTGTGTGCGCGAGAGCGCGTGTGTGCATTAAAGAGACAGGGGTTTATTTCCAACAGGTCTTCCTTAATTTCCCGGGAACGTCTGTGGAAAGGCCAGAGGGACCTGCAGACTCTAGGGTGTATGCCTTGGCTCTGGGCGCCTGAGCAGCACGGCGTTGACCCAGGGTAGTCACCCCACCACCGTGGTCTCCCCGCTGCTCCTGCGAACCAGTGGCTGTCTCTCCAATCCCCATTTTCTTCCCCCGGGTAACAGCACAGGAATAGTTGTGTCCTGCCTGTAAGAAACATTTTTCTTTCCATTCCTCTATGCTCTAGCAGTTGCTCTGGAGTGGGAGGGGGTGTGTCCATCCCTGGGACCTGGCTCGAGGACCTCCCGCGGCGCCGGGAGCACGTTCCCAGGGACTGGAACTCTCGGGACTGCCCATGCTTTGTCCTCTGGCCCGCGGCCGCTCGGTGAGGTGGACGCCTCGGCGCCTTCCTCGCCCCGGGCCCCGGTACTCCCCTCTGGGGACTGGAACGTCCCCGAGTCTGGCTCCTCGTTCTTTATTCCTTGGCCTCTGTCTCCGCCACCCTGGGGGGCCTAGACTCTGTGCTTCCAGTTGGCAATCACTTGCCAGGGTGCTCAGATCCCAGCACCCACCCCTCCGCCCCCGCTCGGCCTTAGGGGTGCCCTCTGGCCGGAGCCTCTTCCCTCGCCCTTGCTCCCTCTCTCCAGGCTACCCCGGCCGCGGGAGGCCCCAGAGCTGCCTTTCCGGACCCGTAACCCTCCAAACTTGGGCTGGACTCCGTTTTGCCGCGCGCTCCCTCCCGCCTCCCCTCTCCGGCTGCGGAGCTGTAACTTGGAGGCTCAGCTCTCAACTTCGGGTGATTTTTCTTTGCTATCTTCTCCTTAGGCAAAGTTTCCCGAGCGCAGCCGTGGGCTCAGGGCTTTCACTACGGCCCCGGGCATCCGCACGCGGAGAGCGAGCGCGGCCGTGGCGCGGCGGTGAGGGGAAGTGGGTGTGCGCACGGAGGAGGGTGTCCGGGAGCAACTCTACCTGGCTTCCCTCCGCCCGCGCTTCCCCGGACCCGGGCTGCAGTCTCGCTGTACACTCTTGTC